ATTTATCGTGTTTATCGAGCCATGTTGGTTCCACGGATAAAGCTCTATCCGGAATGTTTATCTGCTCCCGGTTTGTCTTCACTGTCTCAGTTTCTCGGTATCGCAGTCTAAACCATTCATGAAACCATCATCCATATAGAGACTACTGCTGGTGCAGCATCCCCAATTACCACGTTTGTAGTAACCTTCATCTAAGACGAACAACGCGTGAACATCAGGATGCTTTCTGAAGAATTAGGTAGCACTTTTTGTTTTATCCTTAAGTGGATATACGGCCATTAAACAGCTATCGTGAAGAAGCGTTTTGAGCCGATGTCGAATGCTTATTTGACCGTTTTGTACAACAGATCTTCAAATATGTTTGCTAAGTGCTGGGTACTCACTGAAAAAGCGCGAACATGGATGCTAATGGCAAAAACGTGGTTTCACCTGAGAGTGGCTAGTGTAATGAAATGATTCGGAACACCGCAATCATGGATACTTTCTCTTGTGTACTGTTCTTTCGTCAAATCTTGAAGTTCGAATTTGCTCATTTTCTTTCGTTGCACACCTAATAATATTTATTTTGCTTGAAGATCAAAGCGATTTCGAAAAGCTGGACCTACTTGGGGAATTCGGCACCGACGGATGCCTATCCGCCTCACAGCAATCGGTAGCCGATTTCGTACCGAGCTACACGGAGAAGCAGAAGCGTAACAAGTCGCGTAAGTCGGTCAAGATCGGTGTGGGCGGGTTCGTGGCGCGGCCTTCGCGGCAACGTGCTGAGCGCCAGGGAAGCGAAGGTACTCGATAATCCCCTCGCGTCGCAGTACTATGTTTAATAAGTTTTCTTTTTTCTATTTAGAGTGTTTTTCTTCGTCTGATACCCACGAGTCACCCAACGTGCTGTTCGGTGGTGGAAACTACCTACAAGACAGTGGTGTCGGTAACGTGTGTGCAGCAACCGACTTCCAACAAGCAGCTTCGTCGCACGCCGAAGACGGTGGCAGCGATGGGAAACCGAAGAAACGTAAACGTAGTCGAAAGAAGTGTCAGCTGGACGATTTCTATCCGGCGTACATCCAGGTAGGATTCGTTCATCTCTGTTCACCGTCTGACTCTTCCATCGTTTCAAGGAGGCCTTTTTCGGTAATACCGTATCTGACCCAAAATTCATGCCCCCAGCTAGCAATTGCATTCCGTTACTCGAAGAGGTGGTGCCGGCACCGAGTGAAGGCCCAGTCGGTGGCGACTGCGAGATCAACGCCGAGCTGATGAGGAAGCCTTTATCGAGCTGTTCGGTAAGCAGCACTGACTATGCACTCGTCTGTGGCACTCGCACTGCAGATTTATTAGTTTTGACTATGTTTAATTTTCGTAGTCCGTTATTCCCTTTCGATTACGAAAGCAGCGACTTATGAGTCTTCTATGAACCTTGAACTCTGGTTGTCGAGCAGACTCAGTGCAAAAATGCTGTACGTTCAGTGTAATCCTCCTTAAGGTTTACCCCTTGGTTGTCTGCCTTGTAGCCTTGCGAAGAAAATTCATTTTCCAGCGATCCGCTATGACATCCTGACAGCGTACCCAACCTAACGTAGCCACTGCTTGTCAGTTTCGGAAAAGCGGACCTCTCTCAGATTGTCTTGTCTGTAATTTCGTCATATAAACAGCCCATTGAAGTACCTTATTTAGCCCTGATCATAAGCAAAAGACTGTTTTCAGCAAGGATACGATTATGCAATATGAGGTCAAATAAAATACACTTTCTAAGTTGATCACTTCAGCGGCGATGGCTGGTGGTAAATCCCCACGCTTGATGTACAGAATACACGGATTCATTTCCCTACTTCGGCACGCACGATTTTCATCGTTCTTCGTATTCGTTGACTATGCAACAGGTAAACTAGTACTTGCTCAACCGATGTTGGAGAAGGCCTAAAGAATGAGAATCGATTGACTGTGTGCCACAGTCAAGTTATCTTTTGCCAAAGCGCAGATCTTGGTGCTTAAGCAGGATTGTTGAAGCAGTCATCGAAAACAACTGACTGAGTAAAAGACATGAGTTTAGCCACAACCGGCAGATATGATGTTTTTATTCATTTAATTTTAGATTATTCTGGTTTTCGCATACGTTCACAGTGAGGCACAGCAATATGCCAATGCTAAACTCCCTACGCTTTGCCGCGCTCGGTCTTGCTTTGAATGAGAGTGTTATTTACTATGTCTTGAATTTTTTCTAGGCTGGGGGCGGGCAGTCGTCTGGTGGCGTTCGCTTGGACACGCAGATGGCCGATAGTGCGGTCGAATTGAACGAGAACGAGGAGATATTTCCTCACGAGTTACAACACCATGACTTTACGAATCTCTTGGACATGCTGATGCAGGCGGACATCGACTCGGTTGTGCACGATGGCGGATGTAAGTGCATAGTGTTCGACTAGGACGATTCTGAGCGTTGTGTTTAGGCATTAGCGAAAAGCGGCCATCATCCGTCAAAGATGACAATTTGGACAACTTGATCGAAAGCGGTAATTTCATTGGTTAGTGTTTTGTACCATTTTTCATTCGTTTCGATCGGTTTCACTAACTTATGATTTTAGCTTTGGGAGGATTAGACAACGGCGACGTGGATCGTCTCATGGACAACATGCTTGCTTCAGAAATAAGGGAAGACGGTGGCGGCGGTGGCGATCGTTCGAATTCGAATCAGTTGCTGACCACAGTATCGCAGCCACCGCAGCAACCCTCGACGTCGTTTGACCAATCAGGCACTCCGTTTGATGTCGACTGTAGTCAAGTGGCTGCAGCGGCCGCTTACGCCTTGGAGTCACAATGCAAAGCGGTCACTCTACCGAAGACGACGTTCGTCTGTCAGCCAGAGCTGACGTAAGTATTTCTTTTGTGCGACAAACGAAGCGATTACGATCTTACAAAAAGCGCCCATTTAAAAAAGCTGCGATAGCCAGCAGATGGCACATCTTCACTTGTAAGATAGATCTGTGTAGGAGAGGGACACTTGATTACAAACCTTTATGGATAAATTAGAGTGTATGGTTCAGTATGGACTTTAGACGAGAATACTGAGTCAGATATTTTCATCGGTTCTTCGAATCGAGCAGAAGTTCGCGGTTTTTTTATGTAGTGAAACGAAAAAATAAACTGAAAGATTGTAACCGTCGAAGTGTCGTGTTCCGTGCATTCCCATGACGGTACCATTTCTGTTGCCTTTTTCATCAATTTAATGGCTGGGCGCTCATTTTCAGTTCTATGTCATCTGTCAGTAGTACCTTGTTTTTAAAGGCAGAGTGAACAGCAGACATAGCGTGTCGCCTCCTGTTTCTTTCCCAGAGTCGCACTCATCAACCTCGTTAGGAAGAAAGACGAGCGATTCCACCAGGGCTCGAACTGTTGACCTTTCGGTTCTGAGCCGGACGTTGTTCCGACTGAGCAACGCAGGTCGTATAGGTCTTAGGTATTGTTATATGTATCAGAGATATGATACAGTGTATTTAAACCATGCAAAGCCTTGTAACATGATAACAGATTTATAATGAGACTGATGTCTTCTGATTCAGTAATTAGAAGCATAAAAACAGAAAAAAACCTAGTTTATTTAACAATAATGCTGTCAGACATTTGGACCGAATTGGCATCAGTCTCGTTGGAGAACGAACAGTCTACAGTATACAGTTGTCAAGGTCATATGGCGTTTGATTGGCAGTAAATTTGACTCCTTGTTAATGAGTTAATTGATTACTCTTCAAAATCAAAGGAACCTAACGCGATCGTTGCAAGTTCTGTTTCGTTTGGCGGCGATAAGAAGCTTCTTTTTGATTAATGGCTTCATTTTTCATTTGTCATAATATACCACCGTGATATCCATGGGCAAAAATCTCGAGTGACCGACCTTACGGTTTCATTAAATATGTGGCCCTTCCGTGTTTGCCCACTAGTTTTTAATGATCTAAAGGTCTTGCCAGTGTAAATGGTGTCGCAGCCATTAAATGTCGTTTAGAATGCTCTCGATGTTAGGGCTAAAGTGCTTTCATTGCGGAAAAATTCTTTAAATCCGTAGTTTCTCTAAAAGACAGAATTTGTTCAGAAATGCCGGTAGCGAAACATCTTGCAATTTTGTAGAATTACAATCGAAAAAGCGGACGGAACCAAGTTTGGGACAATATTAATTATTTGGCTATGCATTTTAAAAAATGTTTATGATTATACTTTGGTTTCATGTCTTAACAGTCGGTCATCTGTATAATAACTTAAATCCTGATGTTCAGGTATTTCATGAAATCGCCAAAGAGATTTAGGCGTGCAAGATGAAGTGCTCAGATAACAGTTTGGACATTATGATGTACTTTATATTGTGGCACGAAGGAAACAACGCCGCCCCGTTTAATAAGAATATCGAGAACTGCCATCTGGTTGATATGTTCATGCTTACGTGAATTGCATTCGGTTTTTAAGATCATGATTATTCAAAAGTCGTACACTAAATGAAGGCAATTGCGGTTATGAAGCAACATGAAAATGACAACCTCTATCCTTTTTAGAAAACTGCAATTTTAATGCATTTTTTGGCAGAATCCGTTTTATTAGGAGCTTGACTTCTACGCCCCAGAAAGGGGAGTAGACATGTGATATCGAACTTTTACAACTTCCCTTGTTTGTCATGCTCCAATATCCATGGAATCAGAAAGACATTATCGCTTCCGGTCATTTTTGGCGCGGTATCGGTATGAGTGTAAGAAGTTATTTTTAAGACAGGTTAGTTGTCATAGGAAAATCAACATGACAAAGTAGAAGTTGCGGGCATTAGAAATCCCGCTGATAAGCAACAGTATGCCATGATCAAAGCCTAGCCGGCCTACGGAAGCTTTGTTTCTGAGTCGTTTCCATTGATGCAGCCGTTACTCGTTCTTTTTGATGAAGACCAGTTGGGCGTATTTTGAAGAGCAGCGAATAGGATGGTATTGTCAAAAAGAGCCTATCGAATGGCTGATATCCAGGCATTACCGAGTGGCACTCTAACGTATCTTTTAATAATCGTTGTATGATGGTTGCGAATCTCATTATTCTTACATTACTTGCTTTAGCATTCCGTCGACGTCACAGTCTACGTTCCATCACCAACCTGTGATGCCGACTAATAATAGTCCGAAGGTGGTGGAATGCCAGGGCGGCGGTGACATGAAAAGCTACCTCGAACGATGGGAACAGGACGAGCCTCTCGGGGAACGTTCTTCGATAGCAGCTGTATTGCATGCGAACATACACTACCCGGAATTGAAGTTTCGCTATCCGCATTGGGCAGAGAGGGCAAAGCACATCGCCAAGCTCTGGCGAGCCCTGAACCAGGACGCCCGGCAGCAGTACGTGCAGATGGCGCGCGAGAACCGCTCGATGATTCGTCAGGAGTCGAAGGCGCGTCGGCTATCACCTCGAAGGAAGGACTCTTCGAAGACGCATGCAGCTTCTGCTGGGACCGGTTCTAGCATGAAAGTGATGACAACAACGAGATGTATTCCGTCAGGCAGCGAAGGCGACCAGGAAGCATCATTTTTAGCCAGTCGAATGGTCGTAAACAGTGGGTCAGCCGCACCCGGTTTATTGTGTGATGTGAACTACAGCAACCTAAGCCGATTCTCGGTTACTGACGGCTTTGGACCCGTTGTCGGTTCCTCACCCCAAATGAAACAACAACAGCAGTCACCCATGTTCCGAACTGAACCGTCGGCAACCCTTTCTGATAGCGGCCCAAAACAGGAATCAGATGACCTTCGCCTAGCCGCTGCCCTGCCTAAGTACAGCGCGTCGCATGCCGCCGTTTGTTTGCCGTCATCGTCGTCCGGTGCTGGTGCCGGTGCCGTGGCAGCCCTCAACAAGAACGAGAGTTGCTACTTTCGAATGCCTTTAGTTCCGAACAACGTCTCCACCTCGTTTGTCACCGGCGGCCAGCTACGAATGCAGCAGACCGCGGCAGCGGCGGCGTCGTCCTATTCGAGCATCGTCATCGAAGACGGTCTGAAAATGCATGACCCACCGGTGCTCATGCGGCGGCAGAGTTTCAGTAATGATAAAACGACAACGCCGCTGAACTTTTCTTTGAACGTAATTTTGTGATTTTTATTTGTCGATTCCGCAGTGTTGATTGTTTATTTTTAGTCTGGGATGGTTATGGACCGAAACGCCATCATGCAGTCGCTGAAACAACAAATCGACGACAATAAACAGCCACCAGCGCAGAGAATAATCAAACAGTCAGGCACGTGTTTCATTGTGATTACTCACCGATCGAGTGTGTATTCATATGAAAGAAAATAATACTTCGACAGGACAGAA